ACACCCTAAAAAAAAAAACTCCCAAAAAAAAAAAAAAAGAAAGAAAGAAATTAAAGTTGATTACTGTATAGGTTGAATATCCCTGATTCAAAATGCTCGAAATGAGAAGTGTTTAGATTTTGGATCTTTATTTTCATTATTATTTTGGGATATTATCTCATATATAATGAGATATCTTAGGAATATCTAAATACAAACTTCATTTATGTTTCAAATACTTCTTTCTTTCTTTTTTTTTTGGAGAGGTTTTTGCTATAGGCACATGCACTCGCCAGAGAGACAGAGAGACAGAAAGCAAGAAATCACCCCCCTGGGGGGATGGTCACACCGCAATCCTTTCTCCTCCATTCTCCTCTCGGGATCTTGGGCGCACATGCACAGGCGCCTGGCATGAGTTTAAGCCACCGGGTCTGGGAGTCGAACCACAGTTGACTACATGGGAGTCCAGCGATGTAGCCATTACACCAACTGCTAGTCTCTCAATATACTTCTTTTCTTTTCTTTCTTTCTTTTCTTTTTTTTTTTTTGAGAGAGAGATTTTTCACTATAAGGCACGTGTGCTCGCCAGACAGACAGAGAGAGACAGAGAGACAGAAAGTGAGAAATCACCCCCCAGGGGGGATGGTCACGCCGCAATCCCTTCTCCTCCATTCTTCTCTCGGGATCTTGGGCACGCACGCACACGCGCCTGGCGTGAGGTTTAAGCCACTGGGTCCGGGACGCGAACCGTGGTCGACTACGTGGGAGTCCAGCGACATAGCCATTACGCTAACTGCTGGTTCCCGCTCATATACTTCTTATACACATAGCCTGAAAGAAATTTTATGCAATATTTTTTATTGCAGTGTTTTTGTTTGTTTCTTTAGAGAGATTTTTGCTACCGGGTGCGATAGTGTGCTCACCGGAGAGACAGAAAGAGACACAGACACAAAAAGTGAGAAATCATCCCCTGGGGGGATGGCCACACCGCAGTCCCTTCTCCTATATTGTCCTTTTGGGATTTTGGGCACGCACGTACACGAACCCTGTGTGAGTTTGAAACCGTCAGGTCTGGGACTCGAACTGTGGCTGGCTGTGTGGGGGTCCACCTGCTGGCCCCTGCAGCATTTTCCCTAAGACATGCTAGCAGGTCAGGTATGGAATTTTCTGTTCTGGCATCATGTCAGTCTTCCAAAAATTTTGTATTTGGGGGCTTTTGGATTAGGGACGCTCAATCAGTAGTGAATATAAATGGATCTCATTTAGCAATGATGGGAACTTTTCTTTCATTTCATTATTATTTCAAGATGTGTGCTGTAGAAAGATTAATTTTCGCCTCTCTCTTCTCTTCTAGTCATGGGCTTTTGCCCTGTAGGTCCTTCTGCGAGGCTGCCAAAGAAGGCTGCGAGTCAGTCCTGGGGATGGTGAATTCCTCCTGGCCCGACTTCCTCAAATGCTCGCAGTTCCGTAACCAGACTGAACACAGCAACGCCAGCAGGGTCTGCTTCTCACCCCAGCAGGAGAAAGGAAAGCGACGTAGGTGTCTGTTTCATCTCACTCTTCCAAGCCTTTACGTGATTGGTTCATACAGGGATGTATGCAAATACATGCAGATGTCACTGAATGTTAGCAAAGTGACCAAATCTATGTAACCAGCATGCATTTATAAAGAAATAGAAGAAGGGGGCCTGCAGGTGGCGAGCTGGTTAAGGCACTGGACTCCTATGTGGCCAACAGTGGTTCAAGTCCCAGACCTGGCAGTTTGCAAATCATGCCAGGAGTGTCATGTGTGCAAGCCCAAGGTCCTGAAAGGAGAAGAGACTACAACGTGGCCATCTCCCCTGGGGGTGATTTCTCACTTTCCCTCTCTCATCTCCCTCTGTCTCTCTCCAGCAAGTGCCTGTGCCCTGTGGCAGCAAAATAAATAGAAATAGAATATTAACAGCATTCCAGAAAGTCCTTCAAGCTCCCTGCCAGGCGTAGCTCACCCTCCCAGAAGAAAGTCCATCCCGGTTTCTGTCACCTCAGACAGCCGTGCCTACTTCCGGATTTCATGCAGCAGATGAAATGCAGACGCTGTGTATCTGCCTTCCTGTGCACAGTATCGTGTTTGAAACATTCCTAACATTTTCATCTTGTTGTGGCTTATTTGTTCTCATCGTTTTATAGTAGTCTAACTTGTGATTATTTCACAGTATCTTTTCCTATTCGACGGTCGATGGACATTCGGACTGTTTCCACTTTTAGCTATTACGAACAGTGGAGCGCTAGTAGTCTTTGAACACGGTTATGCACTTGCTCAGAAACAGATGTTCTAATGTGGTTGTACCAGAAGTTTCTAACGCGGCTGTAGCCTTCCTGCGGCGTGTGAAGGGCACAGCGGCTATACACCACCCCCCATCCTCGGCATCAGCCGTGTTTCCATTTGATAGTTCTAGTGGGAGTATGTGGCATCTCTTTGTGGTTAGAGTTGCATTTGATCAAATTTTCAACTTTTTTTGGCTACTAATTTTTCCTTTTTTTGTGAAGTGTCTATACAGATATTTTGCCCATTTTCTGGAGGTCTGTCTTTTAATCAATTTGTTGTTTTATATGTATTCTTGGTTTTGTTTGTTTGTTTGTTTGTTTATAATTTGCTAGAGGGCACATGTGTTCACTGGAAAGAGACAGAGAAGGGAAAGCGAGAAAACACCCTCCATGGGAGATGGCCACACCACACTCCCTTCTCCCCCATTTCTCCCTCCTTTTGGGGTTTTCCATGCACATCCCTGCGGCTGGTATGTTTCTAAAGCCACTGGATCTGGACTTGAACCACACAGTCGGCCATGTGGGATCCCGCTGCCTTCCCCACCACGCCACCGCAGGCCCATTTTGTGTGCATCCTGGACCCAAGCTGTCTGCTGAATACCGGTATCCAGAGATCTGTGATTGCCTTCTGTCTCATCAACGTCTATTATAAAATAGAAAGTCTTAATTTTAATGGCTGTATTGGTCATTTTTGGTGTGATATTTTTCTTTTTGTGTCTTAAGAAATCTTAACTTACCCCCAAACAAAAAATGTCCTTCTTTATTTCTTCTAGGAATTGTACTGCTGTAGCATTCAGTCTTGCATCTACCATCATGCTGAGATCAATTTTTATGTGTGGTAAAGGTGAATTTCTATGTGCGTATTTAACAGACCCACTACCCTGTATGTACTTAGGGGACAATCCTTTCCTTGTGCACTGCAGCGTCACCATAGTTCTCAATCGAGTCGTTGGTTATGAGTATCTATTGCTGGATCCTCTAGAGCCAGTATCACACCATCCGAGTCACTGTAGTGACCATAGTGAGTCTTACTTTCTTAGTTTTTGCGATAGAATGTGTGTACTTGCCAGAGAGAGACAGAAAGAGAGACGGAAAGTGATAAATCACCCCTGGGCGGGTGGCCATGTCTCAGCTCCTCCTCCATTCTCTCTTGGGCTTTTGGGGACTCATGCACATGTGCCTGGCATGATTTTCAAGAGACTCGAATTACGTAGCCGACCATGTGGAATCCGGCCCCCTAACCTCCATACCACCTGCTGGCCCTGGGAGTCTTTATAGCAAATAGTGTAATTCTTCTCTTTTTGCTCTTGTTCTTAAAAAGTTTTGTCTATTTTTGCTCCTGTTCGTTTAATGTCATTTTAAAAATCACCTCATAATTTCCACAATTATTTCTTTTGTTTTGTTTTAAAATCGAGGCTAGATTAAATATATAAAGATCAAATTGAGAATTGCTTTACAACACTGAGGCTTCCAACTCATGAAAATGATGTATTAGACTATGGTAACATTAATTAGATCTTTTAAATGAAATATTTTTAAATTTCTATTGGACTGGACTCGTAGCTCAGTGGTTAAAGGAGGTGGACCCCACATGGCCGACTGCATTTCATGTCCTGTCCCTGGCGACTTGATAACCTTGCGAGGTGTGTGTATTCAGCATCCTGGCAGGGAGGGAAACGGCACAGGAGAGGCGATGGCACTGAGATCAATTTTTATGTATGGTAAAGGTGAAAGAGATTGTTTTTTCTATGTGCGTCCACTCCCCACGCAAGTGCTTGCTCGCTCTCTGTCTCTCTGTCTCCCTCTCTTGTGAGTGTATGCGTCCTGTGGCAATTAAAACAATTCTCTCAATAATACATTAAAAGCTTTACTTTGGAGGTCTTCTGTGTCTTTCCTTAGATTTATCTATGGGTCTCTGTTATTTTTAGTGTTATTTTAAAGACCTTTAAAATGTTTTCTTTCTCTGTTTCTTTGTATCATTTGCTAAATCATGTCATGCTTTCTGTAGTTTGCCTTCAGATGAATCTGGATTTTCCTAGCACACAATCATCTCCTCTACAGATAATGAGCATTTACTCCTTCCATGCTAGTCATCACGCCCTGTCTCTGTCAGAGAGAAAGTGCCCAATATTTCACCCTTAACTGCGATGTTTGCCGCAGGGCTTTTATGAATACTCTTGATCAGATTAAGGAAGCGTTTTTCTACTTGTAGTTTTGCAAAGTTTCTTTTCAATTCATTAATGGGTTTTGAATTTTATCAAATACTTTATATCTACTATTTCATGTTATGTTAATTACCTTTAAAATACCAGTTTGAGATGTAATTTACATATCATAAAATTGATATGTTTGAAGTGTATAAGTAAGTTATATTTTCAGGAACTATTTGTTTAAATTAATTATTATTATCATTATTTCAGTTTGCTGTAGGGCATGTGTGCTCACCAGAGAGAGAAGGTGAGAAAGCAAGCTACTAGGTCTGGCACTCGAACTGTGGTCATCCATGTGGGAGTCCAGTACCTTAACTACCACACCACTTGCTGGCCCCTAATGAAGTGATTTTCAAATTCTCAGAGTTGTGTAACCATCACAACCATCTAGATCATCTTCATCACCTTAAAAAGAAACCCCACGTCCATTAGCAAGTAGGTCACCATCCCTCTTCTCCCTGAGCCCATGGTAACACTAATTTACTTTCTGTTCCTATGAATTTGATTGTTTTGGAAATATATGAATGGGATCATACAACACAAGACCTTTCATGACTGGCTTCTTTCACATAGCATAATATTTCCAAACTTTATTCATGCGGTTGCATGTGCGCTTCATTTATTGTCAATATTCCATCGTAGGCATGTACCATGTTAAAAAAATTCATACATTAGCTGAGACACATGTCAGATTGTTTCCACTTTTGAATAATGGTGCTGTGAGCATGTGTATACAAATTTTTCTGTGGCCATTCATTCTCAGTTCTCTTGGGCATGTCCCTAGGAGTGGAACGGCCAGGACAAGCAGTACTCTGTGTGTGACATTTTGAGCAGATGCCAGTCCCACTCTCAAATGTAAGAGGCTTCCAATTCCTCCATGCTCACCAACACTTGCTGTTCTTTCTGTTCGTAACCAGCCTGTTGATGTGAAGGTTTCCACTGTGGTTTAGATTTGCACTTTGCTCATGGCTATGTTGAGCAATATTTTATGAGCTTGTTAGTATTAGCTATTTGTATGTCTTATATTGAGAAATATCTATTCTAATAATTTGTCTATTTAAAAATTAGGCTATTTTATTAATTGTTAAGTTATAAATTCTTATATATTCTGGATGCAATACTTTATCAGATATATGATCTGCAAATATGTACATTTGAAATAGTTCTTTATTCCAGAAGTGAGAGAAAGAGAAAGGGAGACCATGTCCAGAACAGGGTCCTCACGCTGTAATGCACCCCCAGCTCCCGCAACTCTGGATCATGGGCACATGCAAACTTGGCATGTTCGGGAGGTCCCTGGATGGAAACCCAGAACCTCTTCATGAGAGTCGGCCTTGCAGGGTGTTGCTTTTTATGGCTGTACCCTTACCCAGCTCCTAATCTGCAGCTGTTTTCTTATATTCTTGGAGAATTTTTCTATTTTCTTGATAGCATCCTTTGAAGCACAGATATTTCTAGCAGTTTATCTGTTTCTTTTTTGTTGTTGTTGCCCGTGTTTTAATGTGATATCTAAAAGCACACAATCAAAGGCATTTATATTTAGTACCATATTTTCTTCTAAGAGTTTTATGGATTTAACTCTTTTATTTAGGTTGTTGATCCATTTCTAATAGATTTTTGTGAATGGTGTGAGTTAGGGATTCAACCTGATACCGCTGACAAGCATTAATTGGTCATAGAAGAATGGGTTTACTCCTGGACTGTCTATTTCACTGGCCTATGTGTCCGTCCTCTGTGAATATGCGCTATTTGATTATTCTATCTTTGGAGTAAGCTTTGAAATTGAGAAGGGTGAGTCTTCTAACTTTATCAGGATAGTTTTAGCTATTCTCTATTGCATTTCTGTATGGACTCTTAGGATTAGCTTGTCAATTTCTGAAAAATTATCCAGTTGTGTTTTGATAAAGATCGAATCTGTACAGATAGCAAAAGCTGAAATAGATGTAGTAATATACCAGGCTTTAAAAAAAAAATTGGGGGACCAGCAGGTGGTGTAATGGTTACATCAATGAACTTCCA